TGCCAGGTGCCTTTCCAGACATGGCTTCCTGTCTCTGAAGACCTATAGGCTAGCTGGGTGGGGAAACTGACCAGCAACCCCACAGCCCAGAATGGTAGAAGTTCTGACGGTGGCAGGTACAGAGCATGGTGGGGGCTCCCTGAGGGAAGTGCCATAGTCATGGGGTGGGGGGACAAATCCCTGGACAATATAACAGGAATAGCAAGTCCAAAACAGCAGAATAGAAATGCTGTTGTATTTGGAGAAATGTCAAGAATTCAGTATGGCCAAACACAGGGTAAATGTGAGAGAGAGGGGAAGAAATGAGGCTAGAGATTATGAATATATACCATTCTAAACCTTTCACAATATAAGGAATCCCTTCCCTTTTTAAGAGACTCTTGAGTAGTTCACGGGACCAGGCTGGCATGCAAAATCCATGAAGCGAAGAGGACAAGAGCCCATTAATCCACTACCTCAGTGTCACAAAAGCTCAGCAACCATATGCCCCATCAGGAAGCCTCGGCAAAGATGACCCTGTACCTGAGATCAGAAAAGGTAACACAGCCATTGTTCCAAAGAAAATTCCACAAATCATCAAGTTAGTACTTCTATCTTGCAAAAAAAAAAAAAAAAAAAGGCAACAGTCTTGGAGAACTTAAGAGCCTTTTCATGTTATTTATATAATAACATAACTTATAGCTTCACTCAGTTGTGCATATTGGAGGGTTTTCATGGGGTAGAACCCCCAGATAATACTGTCTTCAACTGCAAGCAACCAGCACACAGTTCCTTTCTTGGCTGCTTTTCTGTTCTATACTTAATTTCAATGCAGCAATATTTAGAAATGTTAATATCAAGTCTGTGAGTGGTATCATAAGCTCCTCAGAAAAAAAAGGTCATCCAATAAATTATAATATCTATCATTTAAAAAATAATAAACTACCATACAAAATTACCATATCCCAGTTGTCCAAATAAGAAAATGGAGGCCAGGAAGGATTTAATTATTGATCTGAGGTTACAGTAATTAGAGGTTGAGGTAAGTGAAAAGAACCTTTCAGACCTCTTGACTTTTGTCCTTTTCTCAGAAGACTCCAATTAACCAAATACCATTAGACACAGGCCTTTCAGGAGACAGTTATTTGTTCTATAGTATCAAATGTCCCAAGTTCTTATCCTTTTAAACTAAGTGTCTTTAAATCACTAATTAATATGACCTCAAATAATCATATGAAAGTATCAGTATTTCATGGGCAAATAAATCTTTCTGTCATCTAAAAACATACAGCCGGGACCCCATCAGTCACACCATCAGTGGGCGCCACCTTCCCAGGGCAAGTGGAAACTTGACACATTGAGTGAAGAGTTATGCTGCCTTTTCATCAAAAATAAAAACCATCTTATCACTAATGAAAATTAAGACAACACAGCAGCATACTGATTTCATTCTGTGTTCTCACTGAAATTAATAATACACACACACACAAAGAAAATCCTAGAAAGAAATACATCATCATCATAGCTACTCCTGTTTTCCCATAAACTGCCTGGCTTGAAATCTGGTTGAGCCCAGCTGGCACTTTCTCAGTTATCCAAATTGAGATGATAAATCTCTTCTAACCTCTATGAATACCACAGGGGAAAAAAATCCTACCATGACTAATTCAAACACAAATTTTAAATTTATTTTCTCCTCCAGTACTTCTGGTAGATTGCAAAAAAAGAGAGAGAAAAAAGAAAAGAACAAGAAACTATTTTCAGGATTCCAGCGTGCAGAAGATACACTGAAGTGCGATCACAGCATGAAGAGCAATTATCTGGACTTCGGCCGTAAAAGCAATGACCAGTCATTACCACATGAGGGAGACAAACAGAGTTTGAAATGTGAGCCACCTAGGGCTCATTAAGCCAGAAGGCCACAATGAGAAACAACATTTCAATAATATTTTACATTTAAATATTGCATATGCAAATATTCAAAGAGTCACCAATATGATCTGTTATAAAATGTCTAATTACTCAAAAATATAGCATATATATTAACGCAGCAAGATTTAGAAATGTTAATTACCAAGTCTGTGAGTAACACCATAAACTTTTCAGAAAAAAGGTCTTCCAATAAATTATATTTATCACCAAAAAAAAAAAATAACTACCACAGAGAAATACCTTTCTTTTTGAAAGCTCACATGAGGAATAAGTACAACAATCACATGATAGGTTTAGAAGTAAACGAATCTTAAAAAAAAAAAAACAGGATAAGAAAAACAGGAGGAAAAACACAAAAGTCAGAGGTAAAGAAGACTGCTAAGTTATCATCTAGATCTCACTGTATTTGTGTTGCAGAGGTTTTCTTTACCACCTGGAGAAAGATGACAAATCTGAGTCCCTGATAGGAAGGGCAAGGTAGATGGGCAAGCAAACATTCACTTCTAGTCATAGGCATGTGGGCCTTTTGTCAACAATAACTGAAAGCCAGCAGGGCACGATGGCTCATGCCGGTAATCCCAGCACTTTGGGAGGCAGAGGCAAGAGGACTGCCTGAGCCCAGGGGTTCAAGACCAGCTTGGGTGATTTCACCAGACTTCATCTCTACAATAAATCAAAAAATTAGCAGGGAGTGGTAGTGCACACCTGTGATTCCAGTTACTTGGAAGGTTCAGGCAGAAGGATCACCTGAGTCCAGCAAGTCAAGGCTATGGTGGCCATGGGCATGTCACTGAACTCCAGCCTTGGCAACAGAGTGAGACTCAACTCAAAAAAAAAAAAAGAAAAGAAAAGAAAAAGAAAGCTGTTGGCAAAAATAAAAACACAACCACACAGAAATCTAACAGAAAGCTTTAATGTGCTCATTCACTCTGTTTCTCCCAGTGGCCATCCCATGGACACGTGCAAATATAAAACTCTGAGCATGTGAGGCTGGCAGACACAATGTATTTCTCAGTGTAAAGCCCACATGTCTGGAGTGGAGATGGTTGAGCTCATCAGTCTGATATGGAAAAGTGGAGTGGATCACTCCAATTCTAGATCCTGCAAGCGGGCTTAGTCACTTACAAGCACTATATTTTTCCGATGTCCTGTGCAAACTAAAGGGCACCTAACAGGGAAGATATGACCCATAGCCTTGAGAAATACAAGGTCCAATAGAAATACAAAATGCAGTATACATATATATCTGCCTACACATATACTATACATACACATATATGCACATTGTAAAGGAATGTGCTTTTGAAAAATGCTCAAAGACCCAAGTCAGAATCAACTTTCCCACAATCATGGTTAAAGCAAGGATCATGAGGACATCAATCACACTTAAACAAGCATGTGTTTAGCACCGCTCTTTGCTAGAGGCTCCAGAAGCTAGAGAGAGCAAACAGACCAGGCATATAGAGGTCCTTCTCCCATGGAGTTTCTCAAGGGAAGAGAGGCATTGAACACTGATCACTGAATGCAACTGATTACTGAATAACAACCAGGGTTGAGTGCATGAAGGAAGAGAACAAATGATAGGAACCCCTGGTCTAGCTGGGGACTATTAAAGTCTTCCCAGAGGAAGTCAGGACCCAGAGAGGACATTGGGTAAGCGGAGCAGGGGATAGAGAAAGAAGAAGCACACAGGCCCTGGAAGGAAAGTATGTATTGAAGAAGACAAAAGCTCAAGGTGCAGCAAGTAGAGATGTAAGCTGCTCAGACAAAAGGCGCCCCATGTTATCATGACGTGTGGCCATGTAGAGCCAGGCAAACTGAGACAAGGGATATGGGGACACCCCATGCTCCATGGAGAGCCAGACACTCTGAGAGATGAGGGTGTGGGGACACTCCCTGCTCCATGAGAGCCAGGCACATGGAAACGAGGGGTAAGGGGACACTGGCACCAGTAAAGGGCCATCCCAGGTACACAGGTCCCACTGGGTCAGCAGAGGCCTCATGCCCTAGCTGTTGAAAAGAACCACATCACCAAGGGTAACCTGCATCCAACTACTAGTCAGTGAGGGATTTGCCGTCTGGGAGCAACGCAGGGCAACCCTCCAGGACCATGGTGGCTCAGAGTTCCCCATGCGCCAGCTGAGGCCTTTGCTGATACAGCACTGAGGTCCAACCTCTCTCTCTGCCCAATCCTGCCTCTTTCTCTTCCCTTCTGTGGGGGTTGGTCCCACAAGTAATTCCCAATAAACTTCCCACACATTAGTCTCCACAGCAGAGAGCACTTCCCCAAGAACCCACCAACACTGCATGCTGGACGGGGCTGAGGGAGCCTGCAGGAAGGCAGGCTTGAGGCACTGAGTCCCAAGTGCCAGGGAGCATTCAAGGGGAGAGGCTCCACGAGTAGCAAAATGAACACGTCTGGGCTCGGGGTGAAATTTGGGCTGGAGATAAACAGATTATGACTGAAACCCAAAATGCAGACAAATCCAGGAGCAGTGTGAGAAAACAACCGAGGAAGGAGCTTGATGGAGAGCAGCCACAAAATGTGGGCAGAGACACCACATGATCTCGTCAGCGCCAACAAGGGTAAAAACTCACCTCTGGTTCTGGAAGGCAGGGCAGAGTCACCCTGGAGGGGCAGCGACTCAAAGGGGCACAGAGAGGCCCTAGGGTTCTGTTCATTCTGTTTCTGTCTGATCTGGGTGTTGGTTATAGGGGTAGCTATTGGTGGAAATTCACTGAGCAGTATTCTTTGAGTTGTACACTTCTCTATATAAATGTTTTACTTTAACATTTATGTTTTATAAAATGTAGGTAAAGGAAAGGGGAGACCATACAGAAGGCTGAGAAGGAGAACTCTGAGAGGCAGAGAGAAAAGCAGTGGAATGTGGTGGTGGGATGCTGGCGGAGAGGGCATGAAGGAAGGAGGTGGCACGCAGGCACCCAGAAACATGGGAATGGGAAGGAGGGAGCCAGGGCACTGCAGGTCATGGACAGCAAAGAGCAACCTAAACCCAAGCCCAGATTCATGTGAATCCGCAACTAGAATCTTTCATTCATATTTCCTTGAAAAAAGGATCATAGCTCACCCTGATCTGACAAGAAGTCCAGCATGGTCTGTAAGAGGAAAGACAGGTGCCTGACAGAGAGAGCAGGGTTCCCCATTCTTCGGGAGGCGTAGACCAATTCATGAAGCAAACGCATCTGGACAGCAGCCCAGCCCCTGTGCGTGCCTGCAATGGAAGTTACAAAACATCATGAAGTGTTTCACAGGGATACAGGACAAACAATTATGTTATATGTAAAACTTGGTAATTTGAAGACAAATGCCTCAACTATCAAATTCAAGGAGCAACAAAAAATATTTCCCGTGTTTACTGATCCTGGGAAAAAAACTCTAAAGTGGCACATTTTTTCACATATGAAAAATAGGTTTCTGATGGGCCCCTAGCCAGAATGACCAAGAAAACGAGAGAAAAAGTCCAAATAAACACAGTCAGAAATACAAAAGATCAAATCACAACTGACTCCGAAGAAATACAAAAGATTATCAGAGATTACTATGCACACCATATGGAAATAAACTTGATAACCTAAATGAAATGGAAAACTTTCGGACATCACACAACCTCCCCAGGATGAAACGAGAAAACATTGAGACACTAAATAGATCAATAACGACCCAGGAAATTGACTCTGTCATACGAAAACTACCTACCAAAAAAAGTCCTGGACCAGATGGCTTTCCAGCAGAATTCTACAAAATGTACAAGGAGGAGCTGATACCAATCCTAATGAAAGTATTCCAGGCAATTGAGAAAGATGGAATTCACTCCAAATCATTTTACAAAGCTAACATCACACTGATACCCAAACCAGATAAAGATCCAACAAAAAAAGAGAACTACAGGTCAATATCCCTTATGAATATCGATGCAAAAATCCTCAACAAGATTCTAGCAAATCAGATTCAAAAAAATCTCAAAAATCATCTACCATGACCAAGTAAGCTTCACCTTCAGGATGCAGGGCTGGTTCAACATTCCCAAGATCATAAATGTCATTAAATACACCAACAGATGTAAAAACAAGAACCACATGATTATCTCATTAGATGCAGAAAAAAGTTTTTGATAAAAATCCAGCATCCCTTCTTTGATAAAAACCCTCAAACACCTAGGGTATAGAAAGAA